ATCAAAAATCCATTAGAATATGCTCACAAGCAATAACACATATTTGATCAACTCCTCTCTCCTATCTTTATCTTACCTAGTCTGCCTTCTTTCTTTTTATTTATGCATATTTTACTAATCACTCCCCTTTCAAACTGTGTTTTTTATTTTGTACTGACCTATTGCACACAGTGGAATGATTTATTAACTCATTTTATATACAACTAATATTACATATATGGAAATAGTTGTTTACCAAGATGACCAAACCGTTTGAGACCCACTGAGATAACGTAGACTAAAGATTCCAATCTAATAGTCCTTTACCTCCCTGAGCTGACGTTATCTCTCTCAGTCACAGGAGAGAGCTCTCCCTCTCCTTATTGTTGAAACAGCTTCTAATCTTCGTTAGCTCCGAGCTAGCACCAAATACTAACAACGTCTCTCTTTCTATCTCTCACACCTCCTCCTCCTCCTCCTCCTCCAGAGAGAGAGAATTTTATTTTGAGTTGTGCATTGTTATTTGTGCTTGAGAAACATTCCACTTGAACTTTATTTTAACAAACTTAGTAGTAATTATTGTCCTATATTTTTTTTCAGATTTCACAGCTGCCTGGGCCTAGCAGCAACAAGAACCTCCATTTGTCCCTGCCCCCAGGTCAAGATCTACCGTGGCTCAAGGGCCTTCACCAGAGCCACCACCACCAAGGACCAGAGGACCATCATCACTACAGTGGCCTCCATCTCCATCTGCCACAAAATTAAGATACACCTCGGTACAAAGGCCTCCATCACAGCCATCACGATCAACCCATCCAGCAAAGACGTCTCGCCTAGCAGACGTACCTCCCACACGGGCACCAGCATCAACCTGGGACAATCACACCTACCTCCCTCCGACACAGCCACCAGCAGCCCATGCACCATCACCTACACAGACGCCCCTGTCCTGGAAGACAGACAAAGACCATGACACTGCTCCCCCTGTCTTTACATTTATAATGAATAGTTGGTTGAAAAAGTTCTGATATTGTAAATATTGAGATTTTACAGTTTCTTATGTTAGCATAAATTGTTGGTTGAAAAAAAAAGTTCTAATGCTCAATTTGTATTTGTACACATCACATGAACCTTGGTATGGAATATGAAGTCATGAATCAGTCCTGATGTAACTTTTCTGTGGTGAAAGCAGAGGGATGGAACTATTTTACACATGAATAACATTTAATTTCATCTATATAGGCCTATAGTGTAATTCATATAATTATTTCACTACTTTTGTAAAACCAAATCTAAAAGGCCCAAAAAATAGACGAGATGAGTAAATGTGTTTTCACAAGAGTTTTTAGGTTTTCCAAAAATCGGATTTCTCATTTTCAGCTAAGTATCTCATAAGACAGTGCTCTAAGGTGAGTGACTTGCATCTCTAGCAAGACCAGAGAGTGTCCTGAATATTTCGATAAGTAACATATGGGGTGCCATGTTATAAGAAGTACATTTAAAAGGTGATTTAAGGAGACGTCTAGATATTGAGAAAATATCCTTATACTCCAGAGGGTTAAGGAAAAGCATAAGGCAATTGTATTTTTTATATATATATATCTTATATTGTTTGATTTATTGATTATATTCAAAGGAAAATTAATACTTGGTCCCCTGAATCTGGAATAATATACAATTTACAGCAAAGCCTAAACATTTCAGGAACTTTTCATCTACAGATTGCTTTGGTCTGGCTTTACTCTTCACTGATTGGTTACAGACACTTTAAACGTAGTGGCTATGGAAATCAGAAGGAGGGGCTCATTATCATATTAAAAAACGCGCGTTTTACGCGCGTATATTCGCGCGTAAAACGGGCGTTTTTCGCGCGAATATACGCGCGTGTCTAGACGCGTCAAGAACGCGGGTTTTTCGCGCGAAAAACGCGCGTTCTTGTCGCGTCTAGAAACTACAGCCTACAACTGGTTGCATAAGGAGTAGAAATACTGCCAACAAATTGATTATCAAACACTAACTTTCTGTAAATAAATTGCTACTCGTCCCAGTTTTGGTAGAAGTTCACTTGTAAATTATAATGCTGGCAGCAGATGTTGTTAACTTAACAGAGATTGCTCATTTCCCCTGTATGCATTCTTTATGTTAAACTGCTGGCTGGAGTTTCATATTGTTGTTACTCTGGTATCAATCCTCTCATACTGTAACTTTTTGCAATAAATCAAATAAGCAATATGTTTAAATATGTATGTAATTGTGCAATTGGGACAATACACTCAAGGCTAGCCAGCTTTGAGGATATGGTCAGGGATTTTAGCAACATTGTCTGAGTGACTCTTGGTTTGGATGTTATAGTATGTTTTCAGTATCAATATATTTTTAATCAAGTATTTTTAGGCAAGAAAATAAATATGTATTTATCAGAGTTTTGCTCATTTCAGACCTTTGAATAAACAAAGAAATGTTGACATTTAAAAGCTGTAAATAATAAAATTATAATTGGTTCAGTTTCACATTGTGATGGCTAACCGAGACACAGAATGGGACCTGACCTAATGTTATTGGTGCTTTTCAGAGTCAAAATGTCTGAATGAAGGCAAAATAAAAGCTATGCACAAACCAGTCTAAATAATTACTATCAGAATCAGAAAACCTTTATTCGTCCCACAGAGGGGAAATGTGCATTTGTTGCAGCAAGAAAAGAGCCGAAGACAGCCTAATATTAACTCTAGGAAGCCTGCATACAAAAATATTAATGATTACAAAAATGAAAAATATTACACCATTTAGAAAATACACATCTTGTAACAGTTTCGAAGATATAGCAGCCATATATTGCGGAGCTATTAACGGTATATATATATATTTAAAATATATATATTGCACATAATTGGTATTTCACAACAAGGGGTGTTATGGCATAGTCACATACTGTTGTTGTGTGTGGGGGGGTCTACCAGGGGCCGTGGTGGTTATATAGTATGACCGCTGCAGGAAGGAAGGACCTGCGGTATCTCTCCGTGAGACACCACGGGTGGGGGGATAATAAAGAAGCATTCAGTCTTCATCCAGTTAATTATGGGCTGCAAAAACTAAAGGTGGAAGAACTACTCAGATTATTTACTGATGATTTCCAAATGGTACTTAAATAAAAGTACAAAAGTATTAGCATCAAAAAAACTTTGAGTACCAACAGTAAAAGTACGTGTTATGCAGACTGGTCCATTTAAGCACCAAATATTTGAAATGATTGTATCATAATTATTGATGCATTAATGTGCTCATTATTTCACTTGGTAAATGGGGTTAATTTGAATTACTTTAAATACTACTGTGTAGCTTAACCTATAATAATATAATAATGCAATAATTTATATATATGTTGTATTAAATATCTAAAGCAAAAGTAGCAAGTAACTAAATCTGTAAAATAAATGTAGTGGTTGACTACAAAATAATTTGACTACAAAATGTAGTGGAGTAAAAAAGTTGTATAATATGGAAATACTCACGTAGAGTACAAATACCTAGATATTTTACTTAAGTACAGTACTTTTACTTTTACATTACAGTTATATATTCCACCACTGAAAAAAATATTTGTTCAGGCGGAAGGGGGCCGATCTGATTGGATCTGATTGGATCAGGTCTGTAGGCTGCTTCTCTTTGACACGCGCTGCAGACACTTGAGAGTGCAGCCCCAAACCCCTCGAACGGTAAGATTACAAGTATTTTATACATTTAATTATTTTTTACTTAAACAACATTTTCAGTGGGTTAATAACAGCTCCATTTAAAACTCTATGCTATTATATTAACAGTCGATTCTGTTGTCGTCACCACAACACACAGTATCGAGTGTTCATTTACTTAACACATTTTTTGGTTTGATGGAATATGGAAATCATATATTTAACGTTTAAATGCTTTTTTAATCACAAGTCACGTTTTACAGGTGTTATGCATGCAACGCCATGATGACGTGATAACCTTTTTTGTGTCCCTATTAGCATTTTCAACCAGGTTTTGTGTTTTCACGTAGGCCTAGATAACCTTTAGCTAGCTTACCTAGCTACCCCATGGATGTAAAGAGAACTCTGTAACCTGGAGCTACATCCGGGTCTTTACCATATACTGTCTAAAGGTATTTACCATAGGCCTATACTGTATTGGACATTTAAGACATCAACACTTTAGAAAAACTTGTTTTGTGTTATGTATCTGAGAAAAAGAGGTGAATACACATTATGTAACACATTGATTTGGCCAGCTCGGGTATTGATGGTACATATTGTATAGTGTTTTATTACAATTCTTATACTGGGAAAATATAGTAACACATTTAAAACATTTAGATTATGCTAAATAATTGATAACATTACATTGTTCTAAAGATATTGACTGAAAAAATGATAATTTAAGAAACAACTTTCACCAGTACAGTAGTCATATTTCAATACAATAATAGCAAATAAAGTAAATAAAAACCATATTCTTAATATTTGACATGCATTTTAA